TTGTGTTCTTGAGCCCACCGAGCCACCGTAGACCCAGACTCAGTGACACCCGACGAACAACAATGCTTGCCACAGCAACCAACCTGCGACAACGGGCAAGATGGTGGCTGGGCGGGGCGGCGGGGGCGCCCTATGTCGGTACAGCGGGGGCGCCGCCCATCGGGGAGGTGGGAGATGGCGGCCGGACAGGGCCGGTAGCGGGGGGAGTCGCAATGTGGGTGATTAGGGAGGACAGGGTCGAGAGACGGGTGGTGCGGCAAGGCGACGAGAGCCACCGATCGCGGGTGATGGAAGCCGGGGTGAGGACGACACCAACAAGGTTGTGTGCTCCTTGAACGCGCGACCACTCGCGCGTTAACTAGGTCCATGCAAATTAGACTAGCAGCTTCCGTTCCACTATTGTTGACAAAATGCTGTTAGTGACAGAGCCACGGTAAAAGACAGCTACAGAGAAGATCCAGCGATCGATAAGTAGTAAAACCCTCGATCAGACGACTCTAAGCTTCTGAATAATTCGTCCTTTTTTTACAACAGAATAATTCGTCCTTGTGGTCAGCCCAAGAACAGTCTTGTTGCATCGCCATCAGTGGTCCCTAGCTCACTGAAACAACACAAGTTCTAGGATACCACTGTGCCGCACGGGCGCTGCTGTAACGTAACAGTCCCATCCATATGCCTAAGCACGGCTCAAATGGAGGATCACACGCACTAATCTGCAGCTAAGCTGCTTCAGTTTATTCACCACATAGCTACTAGCTAGGTCGGATAGGAGTAGCTCGTAGCTAGTAACAATCTGGTCACATGGCCAAGCCATGGGAGCTCGTACGAACAAGAACAGGAGCAGCATGATTGGGACGATGGGGCCCACAGGCGGCTGTTTTAATTTTCTCACCTTTAACCGTCAATGAGATGCATCCACCACGCTTCGAAGCGCAACAACATGCATACCTCCTCCATCAACAGTTCGGTCAGTGTCAATGAGAGATATGGGGCACATAAATGACTCTTATTGGAAGCCAAGAACCATCTCGGACAGGAACACCGGTGAGAGCAACAAGTCCAAACTGTTCTCGGCCAACAACTCCACGAAGGACGTTAGGCCCCAATGTTCAATTGGTGCTCGGTGACTTGATCTGCATTTTACTCTCCAGATTCAAATGAGAAGCGATCAAGATCCAAGCTTGGGAGGATCATCAGAAAGCCCAAATAGAAGCTGAAATGAGAAAATTTGAGGTTGGCAGATTTTTCCTTGAGTTTTGTTTAGCATCCTTGTACCACAACATTTGCAAAATGCATATGCATGCAACCATACCTTCATGGGAAGCTTTGTTCAGTTGTGGACTAGTATAGTAGTATCCACTGCACGTCCTGGCTACAGTTATCTGTATCATTTGGTCACTCCCCATCGGGGTGCTTTCTCAAACAAATAGAATATGAAGATAATCTTTGTTTTAAAATTTAGCTCGATCTAATACTTACAGCCAAGACAGTAATTTTCTTTTGCATCAGCATAGCAGTTGGTATTAGTATCCATTTGGATTTGACATAGCAAGTTAAAAGTGTTGTTTATTCTGATATAGAATGGTAAGTTTTCTAGGTTACTCAACGAGTCAACGCCGTTGTGCAGCTACTCTTATTCAGTTCTTTTGTTCAGTTTGCTATAGATGTTCAGTTTCAGAACATGTAAAATCAAAGAGTACAAAGTTCAGATATTTTTTTGTCACCGTGTTTGTGGATACTGCATTTTTCGTAGTATCAATAACTTTAATCATGGCTCGTGATTTGTGTTCCTGAAGGTTGAGGTCGAGCGGATGCGTGCCCGTGCGGAAAACAAGCTGATTTCCCGGCTCCCATCGGCGTGCTCCCGCAGAGCTGAAAGGGAACCGTGCAACTGCAAGGACTGCTGAACAGGCAGAGCACATCAGGAGAACTGGCCAGATGCCGCCTTCGTTTGGCTGCTGGAACTGGTGCTCGAGGGAGAAAAAAAAAAGGCATGGCAAGCAAAGACCTCTCTTCCCTGCCGTGAAGTGCCTCCCGCATAGATGAAGCATTGATTTTCCTGCTGGAACTAGCTACCGTGAGAGCAAATATAATAACAGGTTGTAAACTGGTGAAATACTGAGATGAAGGAGAGAAGGGAGGAGAGAGAGAGAAACGGGTTGTAAACTTACAGCCAACTTGAAGCACAAGAACCAAGAAACTATATAAGAGAGACAAATGAGCTATATATTAATAGTCAAGAGCTAACTACTATATAGGTGGGTTGAGAGAAGGCACAACCTTACATCAGGCTTGCTAGCTGTATTATTAGCCTTGCTCTGATTGTACCCTCTTTATTTAAAATTATAAGTTATTTTGATTTTTCTAAATACATTGATTGACCTATGTATTTAGACATAGTGTATGTATATATAAATGTATAGTAAAATTATTTATTTAGAAATATAAAAATATCTTATAATTTGAAATAGAGAAAGTAGAAAGAAAGAAATTTAAAAGGGACACAACACATGTAGAATACGTGGGAGAGGCGACGAAAACGGATTTTATTTATTGCACAAAAGTCAGAGGTCTCTACCAAGAAAGAAATGCAGAAGCCGTGGGATCTTCTTGCATACCACCATCTATCCTAAATTATAGATTTTGGATTTTTTTTATGTACATAACTTTTACTATGCAGTTGAATATATACGATATGTCTATACATAGTAAAAGTTATGTATCTAAAAATCAAAACAACATAAAAATTGGAGCGGAGGTAGTATATCGGAAACGATACCGCCTATAGCAAAGGACAGACTTGTGTAGTGGGTTCCACTTGTTTCCTTCAGAGCTATTGGGATGGGGCTCGCTTATGCAAAGACGACATGGAAGTAAGAAGTGCCACAAGGTAAGAGACCGAGAATCAGACAATGGAAGAAGATGAGACACGACACTAACTCTCAGGATGATATAGGGGGTACAGTATAGTAGATGGTCATATCCTCTGCCTGATTCTGTGAGGTAATTTGGCTCTCCATTCTAAATTATAAATCGTTCAGTCTTTTTACATATATAATTTTTATTATATATATATATATATATATATGTATTTAAATATGTATAAAAGACCGTATATATAAAAGACCGTATATATATATTTAAAAGACCATACAGGATGATATGGAGATGTGGTGAAACTTATTCGTAGATTTGTTGGCGCACAAAAGAAATGGATATCGAAAATCTCTTTCTGCCGGTATAAAAAATGATCTTAGCCGCATCACGCAAAAATCTACACAGTAGAGTTGTGAGCCTGCGACGCCATGCTCTATGTGGCTGTGTAAATTTCACGAACTTAGCTTTTTGATTAAATGTCACTTTAACGTCGGTCATATACTTTTACAATATTGTTATCTTATCGTGTGATCCGTGTGTTTTTAGTACAAAAGTTTAGCTGTCCCGTAGCAACGCACGGGCACGAACCTGTGTGTACATGATTATATGGAGATGCAATGGAACTTATTCATGGATTTATTGACGCATAAAAGAAATGGATATCGTAGAATTCTTTCTACCGATATAAAATATTATCTTAGTTGTATCACTAAAAAGTCTATACAGTAGAGTTTGTGAGCCCGCGACGTCGCGCTCTCCGTGACTGTGTTAATTTCATGAACTTTGCTTTTTGAATTAAATATCACTTTGACGTTGGTATTTAATTTAACAGTATTATTATCTTATCGTGCGATCCGTGTGTTTTTAATACAAAAGATTTAGTTGTCCCATAACAACACACGAACACGCTACCTACTAACTTATAAGCGAGCACTACTTGTCTACGTTACCACTCTTCAACTATAATAAATTACCGTGCTCTGCATGCATGCATGCGTCTCTACATTTTGTATTTCGCATTCGATCGGGAATGAATAAAAGCGATCAAGATCTTGAATTTTTACAGTCCAGAACAACAATCACCGCGTGATACCCGACTAGCTAGTCTCACCTTTCAACTTCCATATATTACCATACATAACACTATGCACGTCCCAAATTTCCTTGTTCCATTTTTTAAAAATGGCGTTTATTATCAAATTAGTTTTGGAAATTTCCATTTCTATTATGGTTTATAGCTAGCCTCTGATTACGTAAAATTTAAACCAAGTATCTTCTGAACGAACAATTTGCATGCGTATAGGCCACCTATTTAGGAAGTTAGCTAGGGTTTGTTTGGATAACATTATCAATTTATATTGTTATGAAAATTAAATTAGGTTTCACCATAATTCACTTCAATACATGGATTGAAGTGAATACGAGGTGTAGGTGTGTGAGGACGGCATGGATTTGGATGGTGTGTGTGCACATGTCATCATCGCACATAAGGTGCTACGCTAGGGACTAGGGAGATCCATCCACAACGTCGCAGTCCGGACTCCGGGGGTGCCTTGCTAGAAAGTACTCCGTACAAGCTAGGACAGCTCGTCCATTACGCAGCTAGCTTGCACTGCATTATTGGTGCAAAGAAACTTGGACAGCTCAGACACGCCAAATTAAGAATTAATTGGATGAACAATCATAAGCAAACAAACTTTATTTTTTATATATATTGTTTATACGTAAACAAATCATTCTTATTCATACCGGGAATATATATAATAACAACTGATTAAACCAGCAGGGCAGTCAAAATGAACCCTGCAGTAGACTTATTTGGCTTGCAGACTCTTCGCTCATTGCTGACTCCACGCACACACGATAGAAAAAAGACACGTGCGACTGACTGACTGATAGGCCCCAGCTACACGGGACACGATCGACGACGACGACCATGATGAACGTTGCGAAAAATAACTGGACGAATAATTAAACTACAGCAGATCCGGTATGTGTGATGAGCATGCATGGCAAAAACTCGCTCGCTCCAAACATATGCCGCTGTCGTCCGGCCGGCCGCCGGTCGGATCGATCGGACGCCGGCGCCGGCGCCGACCGACTAGTATAGCTCGATCGATCGGTCACTGCACGGCGCAGCAGCCGTTGGGGTTGTCGTCGTTGAAGCACACGGGGGCCTGGTTGGGCACGTACTGGCGCGAGGGGAAGTAGCCGTCCCAAGTCGTCGTCGGCACGTACTGGAGCAGGTGCTGCGGCGCCGGCGCCGCCGCCGTAGTAGGGGTAGGTGGGGTAGGCGGCGGGCCCATGTACTGCATCCCGCTGTAGTGGTAGTGTTGCGGGTACCCCGGCGGCGGCGCGGCGTACTGGTACTGCGGCTGCGGCGGCTCCGGCTCCGGGTCCGCGCCGTCGCTGACGACGGTGACGGGCCTCCGCGTCCTGGTCTGGATCCGCCACCGCAGCAGCGAGGCGTCCAGCGACGTCCCGCCCACCACCACCAGCCCCGTGTCCACCGACACCCACACCTCCTCCACCCCTGCACGCACGCACGCATGGTGTCCGCCCGGTGATCGGCGACGACCAAGGTGTTATGCTAAGAAAATCGATCGATGGAATTGAATGAGGCGAATGCGATGTCGATGCGAGCTACTCATCGGTGTACCGAGGAGGTTCTTGACGACCCTGCGGATCTTGCCGGCGCAGCCGTAGCAGTGCACGTCCATGCGGAGGATGACCGGTGCCATTGCTTCTACTGTCGTCTGCGGTGGTGTGATGTCGTCGTCGTTGTCGGTGATGATGAGGCCGGAGACTGTGCGTGGGAATGCCATTTATAGAGGGAGGGATCGATCGAGTAACGAAATCACATCACGCGGCGACGACGTCGATTTGCATGCATGCTTGCATATGGATGGAGGATCCTTCCATGTCTTTCCTTCCATTGTGGCTTCCAAGTTTTGGCTCACTTCCTTCCTTTTATTTGCTTGTGTCGGCAAGACGGCGGCAACACACTGCTGAATTCAACAACTTATGTTGCACGTACATACGGTGCACATGCAGGAACCTGGTGTCGCAGAGAAGGAGTTCTCGCCGGCGAACGCCCGGTACCTGATGAAGCAGATCCTGTGCAACCGCTTCACCTCCTGGGCGGCCGGCGGCAGACGAGCCGCTGCCGCCGTGGCTGACGGATGAGGACGTGGGGCACTTCGCCTCCGAGTTCGAGCGGACGGGCTTCACGGGGCCTATCTACTACTACCGCAACATGGACCGGAACTGGGAACTGGCGGCGCCGTGGGCGGACGCCAAGGTGCAGGTGCCCACCAGGTTCATCGTCGGCTACATGTAGCATGTTCCTCAATCTTCCGATGCTTGATGTGCAGAGGTATTGCCCCTAATGATTTCTGTTTTTTGCCATTAAGGATCCTTTCAGTTTGATCGTGCATTCAGTTTGCCTTGTTCATCCATTCAGTTTGCTCGAGGCATGGAAAGTTCAGTAAACTGTCATATGTAGTAAATGATATAGTACTAGACCATGCAGCCTAGCTATAACAATTGTTCAGTAACCATGCAGCCTAGCTGAGATAACTATCATATATCGCTCATAACTATTGTTCAGTATTGTAACTGATCAATTAAGAAGGCATAAAACATATATAGAACGTAAGGCAGATCATATATCAACCATGCAGCCACTAGTACAGTTGTGTAAAACATCAATCATCATCCTATCATATATAGTAAGTTTGTAGTATAAAATATCAATGTATTTATTAGTATCAATGTTACTAGTATAGTAAACTAGTTTTTGCTTTTTTGTAGGTCCCAAGTAAATGATGTCAAAAATACAGAAAGAGTTGATTGGTCTACCATACAGATAGTTGAGACAGTTGATGATGAAGGTCGAATTGAACTTATGAGCGAGAGTCAAATGTGTGAGCTATTGGGATTGGGAGATGAGGGCACACCAAATATACCTACACAAGCATCTGATCGTGGAATGGATGAAGAAGGCAATGATAATGAGCTTGGTCAAGATGTTGATGGTGCTGCCATTCCTACTAATGATGCCGTACCGGGTGAGATCGTCATTTCATATGATAAGAACAATCCATCAATGGAGGTTGGGACACAGTACCCAACAATGGAAGAGTTCAAGCTGGCAGTGCGGACATATGCCATCAAGGAGTTCCATTTAGGAGTAGAGAAGTCAACTACGAAGAAATATAGGGGTTTTTGCAAGTCTGGTGATGAATCGATGGGCCCTTGTCCTTGGAGGATAAATGGGTCGAAACTGGATGGCAGCGCTACTATGGAGGTAAAATATTTTTTTTGTATCACTTAATTCAATCATTCATCTTGTTATGTAATTTAATATTTTTTTTTGTTTTTTTAGGTAACCGTGTTAGTTGATAAACATGAATGTGTGTCTAGTGAGAGGATGCAGGTTACAACTCCAAGTTGCAAGATATCCTTAGAGTTGAACCAAACATTGGTACCAAGGAACTGAAAACGAGGTTGGAGACAAACCCAATACATAGGTGTATAATTGGATATGACACTGTACAGCGGGGTAAAAAAAGCTCTTGAAGAGATTTATGAGAAATGGTCAGATAGCTTTGAGCTATTATTTAGGTGGAAGACCGAGGTGATGAAGCGGAGTCCTGGGAGTGTCGTTGAGATCGATGTTCTTGAGGTAGATGGTGAGGTATATTTCCACCGTTTTTTCTGTGCCCTGAAACCATGCATTGATGGATTCCTAGAAGGTTGTAGGCCTCATTTGAGCGTAGATGCTACATCACTTAATGGGAGGTGAAATGGTCATTTGGCTGCAGCAGTAGCAGTTGATGGTCACAATTGGATGTATCCAGTCGCTTATGGCTTCATAGCTCAGGAAACAACAGATAACTGGACTTGGTTCATGGAACAATTAAAGAAAGCTATAGGTGATCTTCCGGTCCTTGCTGTTTGTTCGGATGCTTGTAAGGGCTTGGAGAATGCAGTGAAGAATGTATTCCCCAATGCAGAGTAAAGGGAATGCTTTTATCATATGGTCAGAAACTTCAAGAAGAGATTTAGAGGGTTTGGCCAGATATATCCTGCTGCAAGGGCTTACACAGAGGAGATTTTCTATAACAATATAGCAAAAATGATAAGTGAATCAGCTGCATCGGTGCAATGGTTACAGGCCAATCATAAGCTATTATGGTACATGTGTGGTTTCAATCCAGAAATTAAGTGTGACTATATAACTAGTAACATTGCCGAGACATTTAATAACTGGATTAGAGACCATAAGGACTTACCGGTTGCTGACCTTGCTGATAAGATCAGAGAAATGATCATGGTACCGTGGAACAAGAGAAGAATTATTGCATACAGGCTACCTAAAGGCAGGATACTCCCAGCAATTATGGTTCAGCTAAGGGCAAACACTAGAGGTTTGGGACACCTGAAAATAGTATCATGTTCTAACTGGAGTGCAGAGGTGTGGGACCATAGCAGAGCCGTTTCTGTGAGGCATATTGTCAAGCTAGGCCAAAGAACATGTACTTGTCTTGAATGGCAGCACACTGGTAAGCCATGTCAACATGTACTGGCCTATGCAACCCGCCAAAGGGGAGTGGATCTAGAACAGTTTGTGCATGACTACTACTCTGCGAATAGATTTAGGGCTGCTTATGGTAGAGAGATTGAGCCAATGACAGATAAAACACAGTGACCACATGTTACCTACCATTTGGTGTTGGTGCACCTCTGGCTAAATTATCTGCTGGAAGAATGAGGAAACTAAGAATCAAGGGATGGGATGAGGGTGGACACAGGAAGAAAGGAAAATCTACCAATGAGGGTGAAGGTGAGAAGAGATGGGATGAGGGTGAAGGTGATAACGATACTGTTCCAACAAATGCAAAGGGACAGAAGATCATCAGAGGACCTATGACTTGCAAACGATGCGGAGAAAAAGGTCACAGGCAAGCTAGTTCCAAGTGCCCTTGCAATGGGACCGCAAAAAAAGGGGTAATTGATGATTTTCTTTATCAACTAACTTAAATGAAAATATCAATATTAATTTATTTCATCACTTGTAGGAAGCGTAGGCAACCTAGGAAGAATGTCACAAAAGAAGGACCGGCGGAACCTAGCACCCCACGGAGGCCAACCAGGGATGAAATCCTACGAGATAGTCCAGGAAGGGTCACTAGAAGGTAAGGAATATTAACACATTTACTGTACACAATAATTGTTTTATATATACATCTAATTGCCGATCATATTTATGTGCAGCAAGCTAGCGATGTTACTTGGAGAGGGCACATCTTCACAAACTGACAACGCTAGCCCCGTGAGGATGCCTACCCCGGTGCCACCAAAAAAGATGACTCCAAAAAGGAGAAAGCTAAACATTTGATGATGGAGCATTTTAGTTGTGATGAGATGTAACCTCATGATTTATTTCATATGACATTGATTTCGTTTGGAACTACATTATGGTCTTCTGAGATAAACTTGTTTATGCTACAAACATGGTTTTATGAGATGAACTCGTAGATAAATTCTTGCCGTTATATATTACTTGTAATTGTGTATGAATCAATTCTTGTTATATATTACTTGGAACTTGTTATATATTACTTGAACTATACATATATTACTTGTAATCTGTACACATGGCGGCCATTGCCACGGCCAAACAAGCCAAAGCAATTGTGTGGCCCAGCCACGCCACGACCAGCCAATCATGGCCACGGCCAGCCAGCCAAAGGCACCTGCGGCCAGCCAGCAAAGGCCATAGCCAGCCAGCCAAGGCAGCGCGGCCCAGCCAAGGCCAAGGGCCGTGGGAAGCAAGCAGCCAGCAGTGACCTTTTTTTTTTTCAAAACGACACAACAATCACTGTCAAAACACTGAAGGGTAAAACGGTCACGTTAGGAACAAATACATGTATTTAGATGTTAAAAGAGATTAAAATGGCCCGAAATGTCATTAGAGCTTATTGTAATTGTTTGGAGTCCTATTTTAGAGAAACAAACGTTAGGAATCCTATTATAGAGAAACCCAACTTTTGGAGTCCTATAATAGCCAATTTCTCGTAATCGATGGACTGAAGAAAGGTCGCTTCTGCTAATTTGAGGCATCCACAGATTGGCTGACAATTTGTTTCAATTGGACTGCATTTTGCTGCATAGTTATCGTTTGCACATTTTTCGGTATGCTCCTTGTGTTGGGCTTCCCAGCGTGGGATGAGATGTGAGATGGTATTGGGTTAGAGTGTCATTTCTTATTGCAATTCTAATACGAAGGGGCTATGTCTATATGGGTTGCTTATGTAAAGAAGAGGATAAAAGTGATAAGATTACTCTGTTCGCGGATTGTCATTTCTTATCGCAATTCTAATATGAAGGGGCTATGTCTATATGCTTTGCTAATGTAAAGAGGATAGAGGTGATAAGATTACTCAGAATCAATACATACATTCAGGTGGGGATCCTCTCCCCCCGGTGAACTTAAAAAAAAAGATTTCTCAGCTGTGATCCAAATGCATATGGGTTACTCAGTTCTCACACAAACACACATGGGCTTGTGGATTTCAATCGGTCACATTGTGTTGATTCACTGAATCATACAGATATGATGATGCTCAAAACAGTCCAAACCGAAGCCCAAAGTGGTGCTCACATGTGTCCTTCAGTTTGATGCACAATTCTATGTTCACGCATTGGAGTTTCCCATCAATTGGTCTTCTAGAAGTGTAGCCTAAAATGTATCTACAAATCTGCTTCTTTGGTGGTATACAGTATACTTCTGTTGTAACTAGTTCTCTTTCTTTGAGATCTCTTCTTAGTTGGGTAATAATATTACTCTTTTCTGAGTTACTAATCAATCTCTTGTTCTGTGGTATGTGAGTTATTTATCAGCAATTTATGACACCTGCACGGACTAGTTGCAAAAGTTGGGATCATATATGTCTATGACCTCCATGTTTTGAACCTAATGAAGAATCATACTAGTGATACTATTTTTGAATAAATACATTTAAAGTGTCACATTGATTGGCAGGAACCTGGACTTGAAGCAGAATTCGCTGCTTTTGACTTGAAGAGTTTCTTCAAATTGGCATTGACTCTTCAGCACACAGGTTCTTCAGCTATGGACCTTCGAAAAATGCAAACATACAGTAAGCAAATAGTGCTCCCTTCTTGGCTCTCTGAGGAAGATGTCAGTTACCTTGCAAGTGTGTACTCAAAAACTGGATTTGCTGGTGGAGTAAATTACTACCGCTGCTTGGACCTGTAAGTTCGCAACCAATTTATATTCATAAGCGTGAAATCAAATCATGATGTCCTGAAAATCCATTAAATTTCATAAGCGTGTAATCAAGTCATGATCTCCTGAATTCGTTTATGTCGTGTTTTCCAAAAAACTTTCTGCACACACCAAACATCTAAACCCCATCAGCATCACCTGTTTCCACATGGAATATAGTTTTTCATGTAACACACAGGCCTCAGTAGAATTAAGATGCAGTGTAGAGCTTCAGATTGCAACATACTGCTTTTAATGGTAACTCTTTGTTTTTTTTTCTTTCAAAAAAACTCAGCAAGAGATTTGCTGAGCGATTTTATTAGAATAAAAAAGGGCGCTGGGTGCAGAGAACATTCCTTTAGGTTTTATGTGCTCAATAGAATAGAAATCTGAAACAGAGACATTTATGTTTTTTGTTTCATTTTCATTTCAATTTGCCTTGTGAGTTGGATGTGTTGGACTGACTTTCTTTGTATCATTTATGGCTTTGTATCAATCATTCTCCGATATCATTCCACTGCTATGTTAGTGCAGTCATTGTGAACATAGGAATTGTCACATCCGAATGTTTCAAAGATAGTGGCATGACTCAAGATGGCAACGGGTACGTACCCGATGGGTACTGGCCACCCGTACCCGCACCCGCCAGATCAAAATCTTACCCGTCGGGTTACCCGTACCCGCAGGCGGGTAGAAAATTCATTCCATACCCGCACCCGACGGGTAATTCTTACCCGACAATATACCCGAGTTCACACACCAAAATATAATAGCTTTCAGCAAAACAAATCAACAATAGAGCAGCAAAACAGAAATATGGACTGGTGGAGTGGAGTGAGGATGAGGATTAGGGTTTGAGGGAGTTCTGGAATATATATATTCATATGCTTATATGGGCCAAATATGGGTTATATGCTTATATGGGCTAAAATTGCAAAGGTTGGATATTATTTATACGGGTTTTTTTTTACCCACGGGTATACGGGTATGGGTACTATACACCCACACCCGTACCCGCATACCCGATGGGTACAAGAATTCATCCAATAACGTACCCGCGGGTGCAAAATGTCTTCTATACCCGTCTCCTTATCGGGTAAAACCCGTCGGGTACTCGGGTTTCGGGTACCCGTTGCCATCTTGAGGCATGACTTGTTTTTAGCATAGAAAGCAGAATCTCACAGACAACATGAAGTCATAAACCACAATTGAATATGAAATATGAGGAGGTTGCTGGAAATCTACATCAATGTTTGCAAAGATGTTGGAAATGTTTCTTTCATTTTTCTTCCAAAATTAGAATTTTGAATTTCATGGAGAGAAACATGAAACTCTGATTTGAATAGTTTAGCCTTTTGAACAACATATAATTTTGGTGCTAGGTTAAATTTCAACTCCTTTGACATCACTCATTAACCAAGAAGAATGGGTGATTGCATCATGCATCATCATCTTCTCGCTGCATCACGCATGCATCATAAATTAGTTACATCTGGCTGACATGTGTGCACAGGAACTGGGAACTGATGGCGCCATGGACAAGAGCAAAGGTGCAAGTGCCGACTAAGTTCATTGTTGGGGACGGTGACCTGGCATACCATCACCCGGGAATGAAGAGCTACATCCACAAGGGCGGGCTCAAGAGGGACGTGCCGTTGCTTGAGGAGGTGGTGGTCATCAAGGGCGCTGGGCACTTCATCCAGCAGGAAAGGGCGCAGGAAATCAGTGAGCACATCCATGACTACATCAAGAAGTTCGAAGCCGGTGTTCCGCCGCCACTAAGAGTTTCAAAGATGTGAAGACTGATGACTCCTGTGCAGAACTCAAATGGTCTGGGAACTCTTATAAAATAGTGCTACGGATCTATCTATTATGCATGGCATGAAGAACTGAAGATGATACATTTTGGAGAAAAGAGCGAGGAAGGGAGGGAGGGAAGGAAGGAAGGTGTTTGTCGTCTTTGTCCATCAACCTTTTGTTTTATTCCATCTGCATATCGTTTTGAGCAAGTGGAAGGCATTTTGTAACACAACATTTATTATGCACGTACGTACATACATATATACATATAACCGTAAAATATAAGAGTTTCATGAAAGAGTGCGTCTATCTGGCTCACGGGGCGACAATTCTTGCGGCAAGTCCTTTGCATGCTGAAATGTCTCACATTCCCGTTACTTTTTTTTTGGGTTCTCGGCTGGCGTTTCTGCAACCTGGATCTCGATTGTCGACCTGACTTTTGCATCGACCTGACTTTTGCATCCCATCCTCTCTGATGTCGTATACTATCTTGCTATCTCAAGATGCATAACATGGAGGTTTCAGGACTTCAGGTTTGCATCACCAAGTGGCTCCAGAAGTTCCAGACACGCGGACACTGCTTTACTCTCTGCAACTGCAATGGAAATTAACTACACTTCCAGGGCACTGCAGGGCGACGAGCGCACGTGGCACATGCTACAGGAGGACTCCTTGGCTGACGTTGACTACCTCACTGCCACCAAGTCTCCTTCCATTTTTGATTGCTCATGGCTTAATTTTGTTATTGTCTATAGTACCATATCATAATAGATAATTGATGTGGTTGATAGTCTGATGCTAACACTAGATACTTGTTCGATCACTTGATTCGTTACAGTGAAGAGAACAAATGTTGTCTTCTTTCATGGTGAAATAAACCAAGATGACGATTGCGATATACTCCCTCCATTCCAAATTATAAGACGTTTTGTCTTTTCTAGATACATCAAGTTTACTATATATTTAGACATAGTGTATATCTAAGGGCATAATAAAAGCTACGTATCTAGAAAAGCAAAAACGTCTTATAATTTGAAATGAAGAAAACAGTATTTATCTGACAAGCAATGTTTGCACAAAAGCACTGTAATGTTTTCCCCATGTTCTCGTGATTATTTTTCTTGCTGATGTTTGACGCTTAAAATTTTACTTCCAACACACGTTTAAACTTGAATTATTGTGGAATTTTTTTTTCAAAGTTCTTACTTGAAATACCGTAGAATTATTGTTTTCCTGTTGCAACGCACGGGATGATCCTAGTATGATATAAATATTCATGTAATCATATCTTTTTTTTTTTTGCTGTGACAACACAAAAGTAACTCTTTTAGAAAAGAGGACAAGAGAAACTTACTCTTTTTTTTTCATTTGACACTCACTTTGCGCACTTCATAGCACAAAAATCATCGATAATGATAATGGCATCTGTTGTGAATCGTACTGCAACTTCCTTCTCAATATAGAAACCATTATTTCCTACCTGAATTAACATACAAACCGAATTAAAAATTTGCATGACGATCATAGAAAGTTAGCAGTTAAAAAATTAGGAATCGCTCCTATTGTTGATCGTCCTACAGCATTACAGTGACCAGCAAGTTCGGCAGTTCCGCACGTGAGCCACGACACGGTGACAGCCTGACGGGACGGCGCGACGCCTCAAGCTCTCGACCCTCATCTCGACTGGCCATCGCCTCTGCCCTCTCCGGCACAGAGAACTGGAGAAGCCTAAGGCCGCAGATGCGACGCGAGTCACGCTCACGCGGGGCGACCGTTCCTCTTCTGTGCTGGGCTGGGCCGCTGACGCTGAGCAGGGTTCCCTAAAAATTTGGTCTTTTGAGGTGCCCCCACGGCCCCACTCTCAGTTCTGCCTACCCCCTCCGTCCACAAAAAAAAAAAACCACAATTTAAACCTGGACACAGTTTAAATTTAGAATTATGTTTTTTTAGACGGAGGGAGTAAGACTTTTGCTCTAGAAAAAAGTTCTGCCTCTAACTGAAGCTATTCTATTTTCCATACCTTGCTGAAATGTACGTATACATGTAATAAACATGTTTAGCCTTCTATACTCCTGCCCGTTTAGCTTGCCAAAAGCCTAATGAAGTCCAATCGGCCGTCGGCTTCTCTTCCCGTTGACTACTCTCCCATCCCAAAATAACTATATCATTCTCGCTTCCAGAGAAATGACTTTGACTAATTTTATATAAAAATATTAATATTTATGGTGTACAATTAATATCATTAGATAGATCGTTGAATCTATTTTCATAATAATTTTTTGGAGATGCAAATGTAGTCGAACTTACGTCACGGAAACCTAAAACGACAGTTAATTTGGGACGAAGGGAGTATAGAAAAAGGCACAAGGAAAATATTGCACTTAGCCCCTTTGGATGCAGGAATTATATATAAATTTTATAGAAATTAGTTCACTTTTATAGAAAAATATAGAAAATAGAGGGAAGAGGGCATTCCAAACGGGGTCCAACCGGTTCCTCGTGTCTTTCTATGAAAATGAACGGGAAGGATATCCGTGCATTGTTGGAGAATTTTTTAAAAGAAAAACGTTGTATGTACTACATGTTCTTATAAAATTAGGTACGGCAATGAAATATTTCAATAAAAAACTAATAAAATAAGATAAAATAACAACAAATTGCAATATATGGATACCTTCTATATTTCTTATATATTGAAAGTAGTAATTGCGCTTAGTGGAGATGAGGTTGATAGCTTCCATTAAGTAGTTAGAATTTAGTGGGATGACATGGTTATTGGTGAAGGATGATGTGGATAGTTAGTAGGAGATGATGTTGATGGCTTGCATATCAAGATAGAATTTGTAGTGAGGATTAACTTTACAAGAGAGATAGATATAGATATAGTTGGGATTGGGCCATTGGGGTGAAGCTTGATGTTAGACAAAGTTTGTTTGGATGAGGACCAGTGAATGAAAAATGATAATCATCAAAGATCAAACTTCCTTATTTTTTAAGTGAGATTTTATAGCGCTTGAAAACAATGGAGCCCTCAGTTTCGCTAGATCTGATGATTTAAAAATAGGAGAAACCAAATAGAAGGAACTTAAGTTGTGGGTCGAAAAAAAAAACATGTGACCCGGAACTGGTTTCTTATAAAATTTATTTAGAGGGTTTAACAAAATTTTTACGTCTCCGGAGCTACTTCTCATCTCACTCGAACGCAGATTCGGTAACTTCACACAGTGACTTTCGTGAATTATCAGACGTTGAAATCGAATCTAATGTCATTTAGTGATTCAAAGAGAAAAACAAACGATGTGTGGAGGCAAGCGGCTGAATAGAACCACGGAAAGCTCGGCGTGCGGAACTCTCCGACGTCGCGCAGGCCGAGAAGGGAGAAAGGCCGCGCCATCGAAGGCCCTGGAGGAGTAGGAGGTGGACTGCACCGGCAAGGAGGCCACCAAGTTATTGCCGTTGATATTGCCAACCAACAACACTGCTCTCTTCCTCCACGACGCCGGGGACGCAAGAAACCAGGCATGTTGCTACCCAGGACGACGACGGCGACCCAGAGCCGGAGTCGCGAATGGCCACCAAGCTCATGCTGCCGGTCGAGACGATAGACGAATCAACAGCTGGGCGCGTGCTGCGACGAAGAATCTCATCAGCTCGATCCTTGGTCCTCAGGCACCGGTGCATTGGGACACAGACAACAGCCTCATGGAGACCAGTGCATTGGGACACACAGCGAGTAGCGCGGTCGGTGCGGCGAGCCCCGGCCGTTCGGCGCGGCGATCCCGCGATGCAGTCAGCAGCGATTTCCGTTGTGGAATTGGGTTAGGGAGTTAGAGATTGTGTACAGGAGAGAAAATGTACTAAACTACCCTTAAGCATAATTAATTAATTTTCTAAATTAATAGCTGCGGTATGCGGTAAATAAATTTTGAACTCCCGAGCACCGTAACAAAGCTCATTTTTTAATGGTACTTATAAGTTACTTAGGGAGCATTAGGAATCCGATGACTCTAAAGTCGTGTATTGTATGTCTGTCTGATAAGTACTGATGTCATCAAAGATTGTATATGTATTTGATACGAGTATATTACGAATATATTTGACTTGTCAAGCAGAGGACTAACACTAGCCTTTTGTAGCATGTGTTGTCATAATGCAGTGGCTCCTATCCATGTTGTGACCAGCAGAATGCATGTATTCGCAAAATGTGGTATATACAGATGGCTTGTTTTCTCGAAAACATGATGGCAAGAGCTTTGTTGTGATTATATTAATAGAAGAACAGCGAAAATAGTTAAAGAAAAAACAACACTGAGGTTGTGGAGAGGGAAGCCCTGATCAAAGCTGGCCACTACAGCAAGAGCAATACAGCACAGAACGTCACAGCTTGATGAGAAAAATACAAGGATTGAGGTGGGCAAAAACACAAGGCTAGCCTAGCCTCTTGTATATATTTATATGTAGACCAAATTACAGATTACATTTGGTTAGCTTCTGATTTACAGAAACGAGATGTGCTAATAAGGAGACCCGGCGACAATGGCGGTGCACTGTTGTCAGACGATCAACAGTACCATCTATCTCTGACGATGCTAAACAACTGATTGATGAATATATACCTTGTACTCTGTCTCGATCTGTCATCAGCAAACAAATGAAGTGAAATGGAATGGAACCGATGGAGCGATCAGCGTCGTCGCATCCCCTGCGTGGGCGGCGGGTACATGGCGGCGTTCAAGTCCCAGCCGTGGACGGGGTCGAGGCCGAGAGCCATGAGCTCCCTGTACTGCTGGCAGAGCGCGCAGGGCTCGCAGCAGAGGTGGACGAGGCAGTCGGCGCAGGGCGCCTCGGGGAGGCCGAACTGCGCGCGCATCATGGCGCGGTACGTGCACGAGTAGACCCACGTGCACTGCGACGCCGTGAGGCAGGCGATGACCGCGTACAGCGCCCCGCTCGTCCCGCACGACGTCGCGCCGCGGTCCACCATCTCCGCGATCCGCCC